AGTTTTGCAAGCACCAGAAATTAGGCATCCAACATTCCTTTTTTTATTATGGGGAGTTGAGTGCCAATCTTCAGAGAAATTGGCTCTCCTACCTCCACTGGCTTCCTTTCAGGATGGAGAGAACTTATGACCACATATCCCAAACTCCCTAAACCATCTACATTTGGAACCTCTTCTCTTGCCCATGTGCATTTGATCTGCAATATATGTTGTTGCTCATTTTCTGGTAGAATATTTTAAAACTTAGATAGTTGTCTTATGATTCTTTTGTGAATTTCATTAATGCTTCATCTAAAGGTCTCATCTTTTCCATTATGTGGAACTTGTTGCTGGGTTGCACTCTCCCCACAAAATGTTATGATTATCTTTCCTTTCTAATCTAAATATAGTATGTCAGCTACTGAATGGCTTAAGATTCTTATGACTAGTAACAAGACTACCCAAATCAACCTCACTCCATAAAATTAGGATTCTCCACAGCCCTGGTCAGTCTGGAGAGTTGGCACCATCTTTTTTTCTTATATTGCCACAGTGTTTAAAAGGAGTATCATCAGTGTAGTTTAAGCGTACATTTTAGTGTCATCAACATAATTATTAAAAATCTGATGAATATTATAATGCTTAAGATAAAATGTCCTACATGTCTCATAAATGTCTTTCAATTCCCCAGTTGAGACATGTTGTTTTCATAGTCAAGAATCAATATAATTAGAAAAATAGAGAGGAGGTGTTGGCACAAGAGTTGCGCTGGCTGTTTGTATAACCCATGCTTAAGATGCATCTTAAAATAAGCTTCAGCTGTGAAGTTGTTGACCCTTATATCCCCTTCATTTTCTGGGCAAGGAAGCACACTAATGGCCCAGATGACCCTCAGCACCTTTTCTTAATGACTATCCTGGTGTGTAATGTCATGCATACACATATGGCCTTCTGTCTGAATTTGCATACTACCACCTACTAAACTCCCTGTAATTCCTCTGCATTTGGTTGACTTCTCCATGTCATTCCTTTTGTCTCTCCCCACTTTTCTCTCTCTCTCTCACTGACCCTCTCATCTCTTGGTACAGAATCTCTCAGAAGTGGTGCTTCTATCTTCCCAGAAAATAGAGAAAAGGTAAAAATTGTCTCAATCATACCGGGATTTTCTAAAAAGGTATTGAAACTTCATCTCAAAGTTCCCTACTTTCATAAACTTCCTCCAAGGCTCTGTAACTAATTTTGTATTCATATTAATTTTAAAGTACTCCTCTCAATTGTAGAAGATTTTGGTCCCACAAAACCCACATAGGCTCCTGCTCCCTACTCATCCCTAAGCCTTCTGTTACCCATTACACTACTTACAATCAAAAGTCTATCAAAGAAGTGTTGTCTTTGAATATCTCCATTAAACAACTCATTAAAACTTTTCTTTAAAAAGTCCTGTTTTCTTCCTAACTATCTTCTTCCCTCATTTATATATACCATCATATTTTCATCAGTGGAGATGATTGTTGCTCTGTGTCTTGTCACTTCTTCATCTCCAAATGGTGGGTAAGGTCATGGCAGAGGATGGCTCTTAGCCTTCGACCAGGACTCAGGAGACCTTCAGTCACCAAATAGAAGAGTATATTGGGGGGCATTGAAGAGATATGCCTTTGTACTCTCCAAGGCATTATCTTTTTATGTAAAGATTTATTTATCTATTTGAAAGGCAGACTTACATAAAGAGATTTTATTTATATATATTATATATATATATATATATATATACACAGAGAGAGAGAGAGAGAGAGAGAGAATGAGAATGAGAATGAGAATGAATGAGAATGAATCAATCTTCCATCTGCTGGTTCACTCCCCAAATGGCTGCAACAGCTGGGGTTTGGCCAGGCTGAAAGCAGGAACCTGGAACTCTATCTGGGTCTCCCACACGGATATCAGGGGCCCAAGCACTTGGGCCATCTTCTACTGCTTTTCCAGGGGCATTAGCAGGGAGCTAGATCTGAAGTGGAGTAGCAGAAATCCAAACTGGTACCCATATGAGATGCCAGCATTGCAGGTGGCAACTTAACCTGCTGTGCCCCAGTGCCAGCCTCCAGCTGCACATTTTCTGTGATGATGTGTCCCTTTTCTTTCCTTAGGACTGAGGTTCCAAATTCTTTAGGAATGACAATGAGGTCATCATGCTAGGATCATTCTTTCTGCTCAGTAGAGAAAGCCCTACTTGCCTAGTTTTAAGATGACTTTTGCCAATGTTTACTCACAAGATGAATCTTCCCATACCTGAATAATAAGGGGGAAGGAAATTAGAATGGGTCAAGAGCATTGACCCCACCCCCCAGCCCTATCACTAACTGCCCACATTGGGTTAGAGCGACCTGTGTTTAGGGCTGAACCTATAGTCCTCTGAGACAGGTGGTCTGGAAGTAGACTAGGGACTTCCACTTAAGTGAAAGGAGCAGATCATCAGAGCCATGGTGGTCCCCTTCATCTGAGCAGTCTGAGTTCTTCTCTTTAGCTATAAAAGCTTGTGAAATTCAATCTCTGTGTAATCTACCCCCATCTTAAACTTTTATTTGGCCTTTGACTCTCAGCCTTGTTTTAGGAATCTATAATACAACCACAGAAGAATGGTTATTAGGTGCACAAGAGCACAGAGATTAGGTCAGGAAGCCCTAAAATTTTATATCATGTCTTGCTTTTGTCACTCATTCTGACTTTGGGTTAACCTCATCAAATTTCAGTTTTCGTATGAAGAGAAATGGAGTGAGAGTTAAGGTTATTGCTAGAAACTAAAAGGATGTGCATGAAGTCCTTAGCAAATGTAAGCACTCAGTACACGCTGTAGTTGTTGTCTGGTTATTTCCCAGGAGTCTCCTAAACAAAGTAAAGCATCAGGTATTCTACAAGAGCCAAGTGATACAACACCAAAGAAGATGGAAAGATGTCCCTATTGCCTACTCACTCTCTCCTTTTTCTGAATCACCAGGAGCCTTGAGACGAAGGTGGGAGAAAGAAGTATACAGAAGATCAAGTATTGAAAGAGTTTGAGTATGACTATGAATCCTCAAAGGCCAAGGCATTCTAGGGATAGTCTGAATTGTTGGGGATCTTCTGCTACTTCCAGCACCTCCTCCAGCCTCAGGATTTCTGATTCTAGATGAGGCTAGTGAATCACAACATTTAGAGAGGGCAGAAGAAAAGAAGAAGAAGCTAGAGTCTCAAGAATAAATTATTCCTATTCATAGAAGAGTCCTGGTTAACTAGTGAGTTCAGATAATGTAAGTCTAGTTACTCAAACTAGTGGGTGTATTACATTTTAAAAGCAGAGATTAGTCTATTTCATAAGAGAAAATTGTGAGACTTGTCAAATGCAAAAATACTACAGTCTTTTATGGCAGAAAACAATTTAAGGCCATTCGTTCAATCTTGTTTGTCAGATAATGTAACTCAAGTCCAAAAATGCCAAATGACTTTCCCACAATCATATGGCAAGTTTGACCAGATAGCCAAAATCAAATCAGGTGGGATAGATCAACAATTGGCTTGGCTTTTCACTTACTAGCTAAAAGTTAGTTCATCAAGTTGGATTATAAGTGTAGATACAGTTTAAGAAATTCTTTATGTAAATGAAAATAAAATAAAAGAATTTGGTTCATATTTACACTGCTCTTTCTTCTTCAGGGGTCAATGTTTATAAAGACATGTTGATTCACAAACCATAAACTTTAAAAGAAAGTAGTTTTACATGAACATAGGTAAATAATGTGACAGAATAAAGATGATCAATATCTTATTATTCCCAGATCTACCCTCTTCCCTGTTCATCAAAGGGTAATGCTTCCCTCCATGCCCCACCTCTAAGCAGCTCATAAAAACGGTTCATTCCTGCCAAGAGAGTAAATGAATCTATTTTTTATGGACAAAGGGAGAGAAGAAAGAAGAAAAGAGAAAGCCACAAGATTCTGGGTGGAGGAAATTAATTCTATCAGGAAGTTTGGGAAATGTATTTTAAACTATATTTCAATATCTTTCAATGGAATTCCTTTCTAATTCATTCTATCTCAAACTATGCTTTTTCCAAAGGAAACTGCTGTACAAATGAAGTTCCCCCTAGAAACCCTTCTCCTTGGCTTCCAGGTTTATAAGGGTTACAAGGAGTGGTGTACTAAGACCAGCTCATAAGAACAAATTCTGTCTATCTCTTCCCAATCCCATTCAGTGATCTCACATTAGTAGTTGAAAATTGATGATGGTAAGAGTATTTACACCACAGAAAATGGCTAGCACTACAAATCAGGGCTTATTTTTCTCCCAGAGGGTCATCTCACCAGCACACCACTGGACTAAATACACAATGGTGAAAGAGTCTTTCTCCCCATTCTCAGGTTATGATTTTTTTTTTACTGTTATATCTCTTGGACTCTTTCCATTTACAATAATGTTTCTAAAATATAGGACAGGGAACTGGAAGAGAAATGACAGGAAAGCCAAATTCTCAGTTCTTTCAAGCAGTCATTCCAGTGTGCTTTGTTTTGTTAACTCAGTGTGTTAGAATGTTTCACCATGAAAACCAAAAAGTCATAGCGTTAACATTGATGCTCCAGTATTCTTCATTCAAAGAGAAAAACTAGGCTTTGTTCCGAGGTCATACTCCATATACTAGAACCCTAGCAGCTGCCTCATGAACACATGCACAAGTGCAGTCAAGGCGTGGTTGAGAGAATGCTGTTTCATTTATCTCCCAATGTTAAAATAAGAGTATGTGGTATAGAGGCAGATGAATAAGCACCATCCTAGCATAAGAAAGATAGCACATTTTTGTCCCGTAAAATATTTAAATTGATTTTAGCACTATAACAGTCTCCCAGGTATCTCAGCACCTACAATATATTTTTTTATTTCTATTTTTTTATTTTTCCTTTTTTCACTTTTATTTAATAAATATAAATTTCCAAAGTACAGCTTTTTTATTACATTGGCTCCCCCCCATAACTTCCCTCCCACCCGCAACCCTCCCATCTCCCACTCCCTCTCCCATTCCATTCACATCAAGATTCATTTTCAATTCTCTTTATATACAGAAGATCGATTTAGTATATATTAAGTAAAGATTTCATCAGTTTGCACCCACACAGAACATAAAGTGTAAAATACTGTTTCAGTACTAGTTATAGCATTACTTCACATTGAACAACACATTAAGGACAGAGATCCTACATGAGGAGTAAGTGCACAGTGACTCCTGTTGTTGACTTAACAAATTGACACTCTTGTTTATGGCATCAGTAATCTCCCTAGGCTCTTGTCTTGAGTTGCCAAGGCTATGGAAGACCTTTGAGTTCGCTGACTCTAATCTTATTTAGACAAGGTTGTAGTCAAAGTGGAGTTCTCTCCTCCCTTCAGAGAAAGGTACCTCCTTCTTTGATGGCCCGTTCTTTCCACTGGGATCTCACTCACAGAGATCTTTCATTTAGTTCTTTTTTTTCCTTTTTTCTTTTTAAATTTTATCTCCCACATATAAGGCATACAACGAAATACTATTCACCTATAGAAAGAATAAAATTCCTCCATTCAGATCAAAAGGGATGCAATTGGAAGACATTTGTTGAGTGAAATAAGCCAGACACAGAAAGACAAATACCATTACCTCTTTCTTTTTAAATTTTAAGACAAGAATACATGTATTTGTAAACATCTCTTAAGCATCTAACACAAGTGTAACTTGTTTGACCAGCAAACTCAAGCACAAAATTGTCAAGGTAATATTTTTAGTTTCTTTTTACCAACAAATTTAAAACATCTGATACAGAGATTTATTTAAGTCAGAGGAACCAAAAAGGTATTTGGAGTTAATTTAGCAGTTTAAATTTTTTTTTATTTTTAACTTTTATTTCATGAATATAAATTTCCAAAGTACAGCTTATGGATTACAATGGCTTCCCCCCCATAACGTCCCTCCCACCCGCAACCCTCCCCTTTCCCATTCCTTCTCCCCTTCCATTCACATCAAGATTCATTTTTGATTCTCTTTATATACAGAAGATCAGTTTAGCATACATTAAGTAACCGATTTCAACAGTTTGCTCCCACACAGAAACATACAGTGAAAAATACTGTTTGAGTACTAGTTATAGCATTAAATCTCAATGTACAGCACACTAAGGACAGAGATCCTACATGAAGAGTAAGTGCACAGTGACTCCTGTTGTTGACTTAACAAATTGACACTCTTGTTTATGGCATCAGTAATCACCCTAGGCTCTTGTCATGAGCTGCCAAGGCTATGGAAGCCCCCCGAGTTCACTGACTCTGATCATATTTAGACAAGGCCATGGTCAAAGTGGAAGTTCTCTCCTCCCTTCAGAGAAAGGTACCTCCTTCTCTGATGACCCGTTCTTTCTACTGGGATCTCACTCGTGGAGATCTTTCATTTAGTTTTTTTTTTTTTTTTTGCCAGAGTGTCTTGGCTTTCCATGCCTGAAATACTCTCATTTTTTATAGTTTTTCTATTTATATAAGCTGGGCAAATTTCATGTATTTCATATATACAGATTTAGATGCATAGTGACACATCCCAACCTAATTTCCCTCCTATGCTCCCATCCTTCCTCCCCCTTTATTATTCTTTTAATTTTTACAATGACATATTTTCAGTTTATTTTTTGATCATAAACTTAACCCTCTACTAAGTAAAGAATTCAACAAATGCTAAGAAGAAAATAACACTGCTCCTCAATAATAGAGACAAGGGCTGTACACAATAATGAAATCTTGAAATGTCAATTTTGCTCATATATGTTACATTTTTTGTACTCTGCTGGTTACCACAGATCAGGAAAAACACCATGACATTTGTCTTTTTGAGATTGGTTTATTCCATTAACTATAATGGTTTCCAGCTGCACCCATTTTGTTGCAAAAGATAGGATTCCACTTTTATGGCTGAGTAGTATTCCATAGCATATATATACATTTTCTCTATCGAGTCATCAGTTCATGGATATCTTGCTATTCTAAATTCCATATCTTAGCTATTGTGAATTGAGCTGCAAGAAACATGGTGGTACAGATAACTCTTTCATATGCTGATTTCTAAATATAATTTAAAACAGGGTTTTACTCTCTTTTGTCATAAATTGCTTTGAAAATTAAGAAAACTACAGGTTCTCTATCCATATATAAGAGGAAAATCTACACTCAATACCAGATAATTCTGGATTGAGAACCTTGCTTGTAGATAAAATTCCCGTTCTCCAGGCTTTTGCAATCTTGTTACAGGAATATTTTGGGTTGTTACAGGAATATTTTGGGGAACTTCTGTTATGAAATCCCCATAAGAATCCATAACACATATTCTTAGTTGTGGCATCTTTATTCTCTTGGGATAGATTAAACTTTAAGAAAAAAAGGGGGGAGTCATTTGGTATTAAAGTTGATGAACACAAAGTAGGCAATGAAATTAAGTATTACCTTTTTTGGTTTAAAAAAAAAGGAAGCAGAGGCCAGAGTAATAGGATCCTTTTCCCTTCTGACTCATAACTTGAGTGTGTAGGCAATTCCAAAAGAGGATTTCTGGAAAAGAACTGGGCTATGCAATATCATCATAAGTGGGCATCTTGCACTCATTCATATAACAAATATTCATGAGGCAGTTGATAAGAGGAAATTGCTCATTGGGATACATATGTTCTTAATTTCCACTGCTTTAGCTGAAAGAAATCAGTCTTACTACAACATTATTTCTAGTAGTTGCCCTGTATGACATTTTTTAACATGTGGCAGGTACTCTGTTAAATACTCTCTATGGGTTCAGATAAGCTCTCTCTACATATATGTAGATCTCACTGTTATCTTTCATTTATAAATGAGAAAACTAAGGTTTTAAGGGCTTAACTAAGTGGCAGCCTAGAATTTCAAAATTTGTAACACCGGTCTTCCTAACTATGAATCCTGTTTTCTCTCTCTCTCATTTTTTAAAAAAGATTTATTTTATTTATTTGAAAGGCAAAGTTACAGAAAGAGAGAACTTCCATCTGCTGTTTCAATCCCCAGATGGCCAGACAGCCAGGGCTGGGCCAGACTGAAGTCAAGAGCCAGGAGCTTCTTCCAGGTCTCGCACATGGGTGTGGGTGCAGGGGCCCAAAGACTTGGTCTATCTTCTGTTGCTTTCCCAGTCCATCAGCAGGGAGCTGGATCAAATGTAGAGCAGCCAGGACTTGAACTGGCACTCATATGGGATGCCAGCCTCATAGGCTGCAGCTTTACTCGCTACACAACAACACCAGCTTCTGAATCCTGTTCTCTTAATCACAATTAAAAACATTTCCTCTTGTCTACATATGAAAATCATACATCACCCTTCAATGCTAAACGAGAAAGAAACCTCTATAATGAAGTATATTAGAATTAAAATAGGAGTTCAGAAGAATCAGTTGTGTAGGCTGTGAAAAGGAAGAATTTGATGGCTGGTGTGAAGTTTCAGTTCAACAAGATTAGACTAGAGAAATATGGAGTGGTTAAAAGCAACAGCAATAGCAAGAGCAAAGATTTGAAAGTAAGATCAGCAATGTGCTCTTGCTAAGTGAGGGCACAGAAAGACAAAATAGAACAGGCAGGATGACAGCAGGGCACACAGATAAACAATTCAAGCGGTGGTGGTAGCCATGGGAAATCATGTAACTATTACTAAACATAAAATTGTCCAACCGATAAGCAAACAAAGCCAGAAAAAGGCACATCAATCTCTAAACCCAGAAGGAAGCCAAGGATAGCCTCTACGATACAGGTAGTTTCTCAACTCCAAAAGTACCCAAGTAACTTCAAAACAACCTCAGAACCATGCTCAGACTTTACAATGGATCAGCTGAATCCAGATTTCCGGGGATGGAGTTCAGTCCTGGTTTTGGTTCATTTGTTTTAAGTTCCCCAGTGACTTGAGTATGTAACCCAAACCACTGATCTAGCACCTTATGTTAAAGCACCTGGAACATAAAGGATGGAGCCTGAGTTAATGAAACAAATTGACAGCCTGAGAACCAAGCCATGAAGAGTGGCACAGGCAGAAAGGTAGTGGGGATATAGATATAGACTGGTACCAAGAAGGCAGATGAGGCAGGAAGGCTTCGACAAAACTAGATCCGATGACCAAACTGGAGTTACTTAGGTTCAAGCCAACCCTGTTCATATCAAATTGATGGAGAAAGACACCCACATGTGGAGAGAATATAGAAGTATGACTAAAAGTATGAACTGTGCTACTTGTTTGTTATGCCACCCTAGGAAAATTACTTGATCTCTGCAAGCCTCAGTGTTCTCGTCTATAAAATGGGAATACGGATCATATTTATCTTGTAGGATACGCATACATTAGGCATACAAGAAAGATTATAGGTTGAAGTTCCTGTAGGAGATCTCAGTCATAAAAAAGGTTAAAAACTGAAGTGAAGAGTGTGCATTACTGAGAGCTAGGAAACAGAACTAGAAAAATGGGTTAGTGCCAGTTAGTAGGAGGGCTCACTCATTTTTTTTAATGTAGTAATGTCGAGGAAGGAGCAGCACAAATTTTTGGAAAGCAATGTGGAAAAATATATCATGAGCCAGAAATATGTTTGTACTATTTTATCTAGTAATCCCACTCTTGGAATCTATCCTAGAGAAATAAATCAACAGAAGAAGAAGCTGCCATGTGAAGATCTATAATATAAAAGAATGGAAACAGCCTAACCTACCAAATACAGGGCAATGGCTAAGTAAATTGCTATTCATCTACTCAATGAAATATTAACTTTGGTATTCAGAAACATTATCTTAGTTTTAACATGTAACAGTTCATCCTTAATTGTATATGAAATGCTTTAGAACACTGTCATTGCAAAATTGGTTTTTATAAAGAAAGAGCTAAAATCACCCTTCACAAATCTGAGTTTTTGATTCAAAGACAACCACTTTTAGCAGTTTGGTGTGCATCCTCCACGATATTTTCCAATACTTTACATATATGGGTGTTGAGGGGCAGGCCACAATAGAGCACGCCCTGTGGTCCTGGAGCCTCCATCACCAGGGAACCTAAGTTGCCAGTGAGATGTCGTCTGTCCTTTTCCAGAATGTGCATGCTGCTTCTCTGCCCCCAGACCCTACTGGGGCTCAAGGCTTTCTCTCATCCAATCAGCCTCTTTGCCCTTTTGTAGGGCAAGGGTTATTTCCCAGATGGTTCTGTCTGGGATGTGTGGTATATGTCCTCTTGCTGAGGGACACTTTGGCTTTCTGATTCTCCCTTGCTTTTCTAGACTGGGGAAAACCTTGCCTTCTTGGTTCTGGCCAAGACAAGTCCATGCCCCAAATCTACTTGTGTACCTAAGTCCAAGATGACTGTTAGGATATTTTCTTCTTTTTTTGCTGGCAGATCCTTCCCCCCAATAAGTACAAGGCCATCTGTTAGCTGAAGAGAGTAAGGGGAGCTAGAAATACTGAAAAATTAAGTACAGATCTATGCATATTAGCTGGATAAATAGGAGGGAGGGAGGGAGGGAAGGAGTGAGAGAAAGAGAGAGAGAGACAATATATACTGACACATAACCTTATTTAGTCATGAGAACTCTCCTGCATAATGTTGGCATTCAGTTGGGTCTTCAGTAGCCAATTGTCCTTGTATAAAACCTCTGTCCTTCAACTGTCATTCCTGACAAACATATTGAAGTTAGTATCCATAATATTTACCTTTTGTTGATGTCTCTGCAGATGTCCCATAGACAGCTGGGCCCATCTACCTATATAACAATTGGCAACACACAGTTGAGTGTCAGTTGCTACCAATGACTCACCAGACAGGTAACCAGAAATGCACTATTGGGGTCTTGTTGCCTTCAGAACACAGCGGGCTGGCTTCATGGGTATGCAGCCTATAAAGTCACACAGGGCCAGGAGCTTGGTTAACATTCTGCTCTCACCACACGAAAGTCTTAGTCTTCTAAGGAAGGCACTGTGCTCTAATATTGCACTGGGCCCATCAATTACCCAGCTAGTCTCACTAAAGTGTCATAATCTCAAAATATTTCAAATTCCATGGAGATCTGTCTCCTGGGTTTCTAAAACCGAGAAACTATAAAGATAAATCAGATTTCTATTGCATTTAAAGATATCACTAAGGGATAATTTTATAGGACTGCTTAAGAGATACCTTTTAGTGTCTTTTTTTGGGGGGAGGGTTTAAAACTCCTGTGCTTTTAGAGTGATTTTAGCACTTCAAAAACTATCATAGGACCCAGCCATCCCACTCCTGTGAATTTTCCTAAGGGAAATAAAATCACCATATGAAAGAGTTATCTGTAACCCCATGTTTATTGCAGCTCAAATCACAATAGCTAAGATATGGAATCAACCCAAATGTCTATCAACCGAAGACTGGATAAATTATGGAATATGTACACCATGGAATACTACAAAGTGGTAAAAAAAAAAAAAAAAAAAGAAAGAAAGCAACCCTGTCATTTGCAACAAAATGGATGAAAGTGGAAAACATCATGGGGCTGGCGCTGTGGCATAGCGGGTAAGCAGTGCCCGCATTCCATATGGGCGCCAGTTCGATCCTGGCTGCTCCACTTTCAGTCCAGCTCTCTGCTATGGCCTGGGACAGGCAGAGTTAGACAGTGAGAGACAGAGAGAGAGACAGGTCTTCCTTTTTCCATTGGTTCACCTCCCAAATGGCCGCTACGGCCGGCGCTGCGCCGATCCGAAGCCAGGAGCTTCCTCCTGGTCTCCCATGCGGGTGCAGGGCCCAAGCACTTGGGCCATCCTCCACTGCACTCCCCGGCCACAGCAGAGAGCTGGACTGGAAGAGGAGCAGCCGGGACAGAACTGGTGCTCGACTGGGACTAGAACCCGGGGTGCCGGTGCCGCAGGTGGAGGATTAGCCTAATGAGCTGTGGCACCGGCCAACTTTGGCTGCTTTTAAAATTCCCTGTACCCAAGCTGCATTCCAAATCAATTAAATCAAGAGATCTGGGATTGGAGTACAAATATCAGTTAGTTTAAGGTTCCCCTAGGTGATTCTAATTTATAACCCAAGTTTGGGACTGCCATCCTAAAGGAAAAAGAAAATCACTCTTACATTTTATATTTTAGCCAAGCTGCTTAACAAATGATTTGGTAATAAGGTCCCTCAAAGACTGGAGATACTGCTAGGCACATTGCTATTTCTAAAGAAATATTTGTTGATAACCTCTCTAAATGATAAAAAAAAAAACAAACAGCTGAAAATTCTTCCTGTTAAGTCCAGACTATTGAAGCTCTTTTCTTGTTTAGCAAAAATTATTTGGGGAGGGAAAGTAAGCACTGTGATGCCTGTCAAAAAAATTAGAAAGACATGGCATAAAAAGCTGGGTGGCATGTTCACCACAACCACATAGAAATGAGTAATGAATGAATCAGGAAAGAAAGATGAAGCTGTCCTGAGGCGCCCCGGCCAGCACGTGCACACGCAGCCTTCCTTCCTGGCACGTGCTGTGTCGTGGGCTTCCTTTGGTGAATAGCTAATAGAAGACGATGCCAGGAGAGTGTGGAACGCCTTATGAATGCATCCACTGAATATCACTGACAAGTGCCTGGACTCCAGTTCTGCCATCTGTCTCTGGCAGGGTTACTACTGGCCTTCCAAGCCTGGGAGAGCAGCTGTGTGATAAATCACCCAGCGGCCTGTGAAAGCCAAGAGTCCTCTCGTGATGAAGAGTCTGCTGGCCTCCAGGTGGTGATGTTTGTAGGATAGGGGCAAGGTCCAAGTAAAGGCTTAAGGAGTATCTCTAGAAAACCTGATGTTACTTATTGTATTGTGCTAGGAATTTTATATGTGAGATCACTTTTAATGCTCAAAGCAACTCAGTGAGGTAGTGATTTTATTGTCTTTGTTTTGCAGATTCAAGAACTTAAGGCTTTACAAGCTTAACTCACTCCCTGCAGATCAGATGATTAGGAAGTGACATAGTAGGGGACATAACCAAGTCAGCTGTCTCCAAAGTTGTGTCCTCTCTGTGTTAAAGGTGGATCTAAATCACCCAAAGGTCATTCATCAAGTCTTCGCTCAAGACAAGCAAATATTTGGGGTTCCTATCCAATTGTATGTTCTCCCACCCTTGAGCTATTTATCACCTGTGTTATTTTCATCCTAAAGAGTAAATCAACCAGAGCTGGTGCTGTGGCCCAGCAGGTAAAACTGCTGCCTGCAGAGCCAGCACCCCATATGGGTGTCGGTTCGTATCCTGGCTGCTCCACTTCCTATCCAGCCATCTGCTGTGGCCTGGGAGAGCAGTGGAAGATGGCCCAAGTCCTTGGGCCCCTGCATCCACTTGGGAGACCTGAAAGAAGCTCTAGTCTCCTGGCTTTGGATCAGAGCAGCTCCAGCCATTGTAGCCATCTGGGAAGTGAACCAGTGGATGGAAGACCTCTCTCTCTCTAACTTGTTTATCAAATAGATAAATATTTAAAAAACCACAAAACAGTAAATCAACCTACTGTGTGAGCTTGTAGTTTCACATAAAGCTTTGCTAATTAGGAGAAGGTCCAGAAACCAGTAACATCACCTAGGAGCTTAGTAGCAATACAGATTATCAAGCCTCGCTGCAGTTAACCAAATCAGAAACTACTTTAACAAGATTTCCAAGGAATTAATTAAAGCTTAAAAAGCACTGACCTGGGACCGGCCGTCTGGAACAGTGGAAAATGCCACTGCTTGGGACACCAGCATTCCAAATGGGCACAGGTTTGTGTTCCAGCTGCTCCGCTTCCTTTTTTTATTTATTTAATGAACATAAATTTCCAAAGTACAGCTTATGGATTACAATAGCTCCCCCCCCATAACTTCCCTCCCACCCACAACACTCCCCTCTCCCACTCCCTCTCCCCTTCCATTCACATCGATTAGTTTTCAATTATCTTTATATACAGAAGATCAATTTAGCATATGTTAAGTAAAGATTTCAACAGTTTGCACCCACACAGAAACACAAAGAGTAAAATACTATTTGAGTACTAGTTATAGCATTAAACACCTAAGAGTAATTGTGTATTAATTAGAGTTCAACCAATAGTTTTAAGTAGAACATAAAAAATACTAAAAGGGTAAAGTATTAAGTTCTTTTCTTTCTTTCTTTTTTTTGTTTGTTATGTAGTTTTTTTTATTTAATAAATGTGAATTTACAAAATGCAACTTTTGTATTGTTGTGTCCCCCCACACAACCTCCCTCCCTCCCATGGCCCTCCCCTCTTCCACTCCCTCTCCCATCCCGCCCTTCATTGAGCTTCATTTTCAATTACCTTCATATACTGAAGATCAACTTAGTATATACTAAGCAAGGATTTCAACAGGCTGCACTCACACAACCGCACAAGGTATAGGGTATTGTTCGACTAGTAGTGTTGTTTTTAAGTTTCATAGTAGAACACATTAAGGACAGAGATCCTACGTGGGGAGCATGTACCCAGTGACTTCCGTTGTTGATTTAACAATTGGCACTCTTATTTATGACATCAGCAATCACCCGAGACTCTTGCTATGAGCTGTCTAGGCTATGGAAGCCCCTTGAGTTCACCGACTCTGAACTTGTTTAGTCAAGGCCATATCACAGTGGAGGTTCCTTCCTCCCTTCACAGAAAGGCACCTCTCTCCTTGATGGCCTGATCCTTCTGCTGGGGTCTTGTTCACCAGGATCTTTCATTTAGATTGTTTTTTGCCACCGTGTCATGGCCAGCTGCTCCGCTTCTAATCCAGCTCCCTGCTAATGGCTTGGGAAAAGTGGCAGAAGACGGCCCAAGTGTTTGGGCCCCTCCCACGTGGGATACCTGCATGAAGCTCCTGGCTCCAGTCTGGCCCACTGTTGGCCACTGTAGCAATCTAGGGAGTAAACCAACAGACAATCTTTCCGCCTCTCTATAGCTCTGTCACTCTGACTTGCAAAATCTTGTTTGTTTTTTTTTTTTTAAATCACTGAGCTACAACATAGTTTTATCTGAAAGGGAATTTAAGTTAGTTATTTTCATATTTTTTGTGTTGGAATTGTTTGGAAGAAGGGATAGGGAGTTAAAATATACATTCCCAAATGCTTTACCCAAGGGTCTTTTGGGGGTAGCTATAGAAGGAACCTGGGAAAAAATACATCGTTTAACAAGAAGCCCAGCTGTTTCAGCTTTAGGGAATGTAAGAACAAGACCATGATGGATATCAACTTAAAATCCCAACACCTGGCCCTCATTTTGATGACTGAAGTCAAGGTGGGCAAGGAGATGACTTAAGTCATTCTTTGGTAAGTAATAGAAGCAATATGAAAACAGTGTTTTTGAAGCAGATGAACCACACCTGATTCAAGACTAGAGGCTCTAGAGAAAACCACTGACAAGTCTCTGCCCTTTTATTTTTTCTGCTGCTTTAGAATTCTTGACCTGGTTGCAAGTGATTGAAGGAAGGGAACATTTGGACATGGTGATAGAGGAAGCAGTGGGAGTCATTGGATCTCACTGAGGTTTTTGCTTTCATAAACATGATTGTTAAGGTTTGTTTTGTTTTTAATGATATATGGAATTGCTTTGGTAGGGGAGAGTTGGGGAGCATAGAGACCCACATCTGTTTGTGCTTATATGTTCACTGTCTCATTGAAGCGTTAAAATAGCCCTGGAAGGTACCATTTTGCAGCTAGTAAACTGTTAAGTCTAGGATGGAGTCCAGCCTTCTGGTTCCAGGGTTCTTCCTGTTGCATGATTATCACCTTCTGGGGAAAGTTAAGAAATCCCACCTGGAGACCAGAAGCAGTTAGTAGACCATGGTTTGTAAACCTAAGGGACTCTGTTAAGATCATGATTAGATCATAGTTTTAACATTATCATGCTGAACGCTGTAATCCAATATCATCCCTAATCCTTTACTATATTTCTTAGGAAGAAAGGGAGAAAAGAATAAAGACCCATCTGTGTGGAGAGGGGGCTGTTTAGTCAGAAATCACACTTTTCTTTTTGGAGGTGACATGAAAAAGTGAGAAAAGCATAATTTTTAAGAAATTGTATTTATTTTGTATTTATTTGAAAGGGAGAGAGGGGCAGGGGAAAACGACAGAGGGAACTTCTATCCACTGGCTTACTCCCCAAATACCTGCAATACCAGTTCTGGGCCAGTCTGACGCCAGGAGCCAGGATCCCTATCTGTGTTTCTCATGTGGGTGGCAAAGACCCAACTACTTGAGCCATCACCAGTGCCTCCCAGCATACACATTAGCAGGAAGCTGGAATCAGAAACAAAGCTGAGATTAAACCCAGACACTCCACTATGTGATGTGGGTATCCTAAATGGCAGCTTAATCACTCTGCCACAATGCATTGTAGAAGGAAAAAGATTACAACAGAGAGCCAAATTCACTCTTATATAATGGCATTAATCCACTGAAGAAGGCAAATCTTTCTCCTAGTGGATCTCATTTCTTGATAGCAGTACAATGGCAATTAAATTCAACATCAGTTTTTGAGAGGACAAATCATAGCACTAGTTGTATCTATCAAAAGCTGTCAACATAGCTATAAAGCTGGTCTCCTCTGGGTCAAGGATCTCTCATTTCTCTGTGTACTTTGTGAAGTGTAGATTTTACGCTAGCAAAAAAAGAAAGAAAAAAAGCTCTCATTTTAAAACAGGCCACTCTTCATGTGGGGTACTTTTGATGTTCCTTTATGATTTTATTTGGGTTATGTGTGCTCACCTACAGTACTGCATAGGTGATGCATTCACAGGCCATAACAGCTAGAGGCATGAGGTTCATTCTTCGTTGGTGACTTCATTTTGTTCACCTGCTCAAAGTAATGTTTAATTGAAAATTCTCTTAAATTTATAGAAAAGTTGCAATAGTGAAATAGTACAAAAATATTCATATATCCTTAATTCAGTGTCACCTATTGCTAATATTTTATCACATTTGCTTCATTTTTTTCTATCTACACAAATGTTTTTCCTTGACTATTTAAGGGTAAGTGAAATGCCTCACTGTATTTCCCAATTATAGAAATATTCTCTTACAAAATCACAATATAATTATTAGGATCAATATAATCATTAGGATCTGTAAATTTTAAATTGAAGTAACTTTTTAAATCTGATCTACCATTTATATTACAATTTCATCAATTGACTTACTAGTGTCCTTTAAAGCATTTTCACTTCTACTACAGAATCCAGTCTAGGGGAGGGTATTGCATTTAATTGTTAGATTTGTCGTTTTTAAGGATACAATTCTCCTTCTTCAATATGTATATTCTTGATTAGACTACTGCATAGATGATGTCCTTCTTAGGGTATGACATGGAGGCACACCATGTCTCTCTACTCCAATGGTAACAATGATTTTGATTGCCCTGTCAAGTTGTTGTACAATTCCTTTAATACGAAGCTACTGTTTCCAGGACAAGTATTGTACAGCACGTTAACCCACCACTTGGGATGTCCATCTCCCACCTGGAGTGCCTGGGATTGGCTCCTGCTTCTGCTTCTGATTCCAAACTAGCTTCCTACTAATGTGCCTGGGAGGCAGCAAATGATGATTCAAATACTGAGTCTCTGCCACCCACGTGGGAGACCTGAACGGAGTTCTAGGCTCCTGGCTTCACTTCATCATGGCTTAGTCCTGGCTGTTGTGGACATCTAGGGAGTGAACCAGCCAACTGAAGATCTCTCTCTCTCTCTCTCTTTATTGGCCTTTTAAATAAATAAAAGTGAATATTTAAAAGATGAGGGAATGGAATACTAATTAAAAAATAAACTATTTTCTTCTCCCTGACCACTATGAGCAATCCGTGAGGAGATACTTTAAGACTATGCAGACATTTTTCTCTTCATCAGGACTATCTAGATTTATCAGCTATTGCTAATTTTTGCCTAAAGCAATCTTTGCTGTGATGGTTTAAAATGATAATTTTCCAACTCCCATAAACCATCAACATTTACAAATTGACTATCAGGAGTCTATGTGAAGTCAGAGCTCTCCATCTCCTTCACTGAATTATTCATTTTTATCTATTATTATCCATATGGACTCATGAATTCTTTTGCAGTAGCTTGTAATTAATTTATCACTGTACTTAAGAATTTTGGAGCTCAAATTATTCATTATTTTCCTAATAGAAATCCTTTCCAGCTAGCACCTTCCTTAGTACTTGGGACATAACCCCATCATGTCTTTTTAAATGTTTCTTACTTTCTGGCATAACAAGATATTCCAGGCTCATCTTCCCCCTATCCTACCTCATGCTAAGTTTCAGCCATTTCTCCAAAGAACTTTATTCCTTTTGGTGGAGAATGGCATTAGAGTAGAAGATTTGGGTTTTAGGTGTGATTGTTGCCCCTGGGGTGTTGATTCTTGACACTTTCAATAGACATACCTAGCTAGGAAATAGGCATACACACACACACACACACACACAAATCTGTATCTCCAATGATATATAAAAAAACTACACATAAAATATATTTAACATACACATTAACACAAACATGCACATGATTGCATGTGTACAATACTTGTACATAGATACATAGATAATTTAGAGATCATTAGTTCACAATGACACCTGCAATCTCAGTACATGTCCACGGTTCCTTCCTGCCCTCTCTCATGCTATATTTGTATGTCCCTTCTTCCATAGTAAGAACCCTGACTCCCTTCAACTCATTTGCTCAATCCAATAATCTATGTACAATGTTTATAATTGCTTTCCTCCAAATTTCTACAATTGAAATTAAAGTACTAAAAAAGTTAGGATTTGTTTGCACTTACTTCTTTTCTCTTCATTCTGCATGCCAACCTTGGCTGAAACTGAAGATATGTGGTCTAAAGCTGTGCTCATAAGTTATTAAATTTCTTCTCCCCTTTCTCCTTCCCTCTGTTCCTCTTTCCCATCTTTTCCTTTCAGTGTCATAATTGTATTCATTGAAATAGAGTTAGTCTTAATTTTTTCTTTATGCTTTTTTTTTTTTTTTTTTTTGGACAGGCAGAGTTAGACAGTAAGAGAGAGAGAGAGAGAGAAAGGTCTCCTTTTTTTTTCCCCGTTGGTTCACCCCCCAAAATGGCCACTATGGCCGGTGCACTGTGGCCGGCGTGCTGCGCTGATCCAAAGCCAGGAGCAGGTGCTTCCTCCTGGTCTCCCATGCGGGTGCAGGGCCCAAGCACTTGGGCCATCCTCCACTGTCTTCCTGGGCTATAGCGGAGAGCTGGACTGGAAGAGGAGCAACCAGGACAGAATCCGGTGCCCCAACTGGAACTAGAACCCAGGGTGCTGGTGCCGCAGGCAGAGGATTAGCCAAGTGAGCCACGGCGCCGGCCTCTTTCTGCTTTGAGTACCCCCATTTATTATCTACTTATTTTTAATTTTTGAATATTATTTCCAAAATAAAAACTATTTTCCTTCTTTATCACACTTTATAAAGTAATACTAAATATGCTTCCAACTTTTTTCAAGTAACATTATCTCCTAGAAATTACCCCATATCAGTTCATAGAGATCCCCTCATTTCTGCAACATGTAAATGAACCTTCTAACTAGGCCTCTATGTTTAGATATTTAGGAACTCCTCTATTTTACTGTCATAAAGAACGTAGAATTGAATAACCTTGAGCAACGATTTTCAGGTTGTTCAAAGTACATATTCAAGTAAATTCTTAGAGTTAGTATGAAAAGGTTGAAAATTCTCTTTTGTAAACTGTCTCTGCATTTTGCTCATTTTCCTATTTTACTGTGTAGTTTTCTAAAAATTAAAAGTTAATTATTTAATTAGTTATATGCATTTGAAAGACACAGAGAGATATAGACAGAGGGATCTCCTTTCTACTAATTCACTCCTTAAATGCCTGCAACAGCCAAAGCCAGGACCCAGAAACTTAACTTGAGCCTCCTATATGGGTGTCAGGTATGCAACTACATTAACCATCACTACTATCTCCCAGGGTGAGCATAAGCAGAAGACTGAAGTTGAGAGTAAAACCAAGACTCAAACCCAGTGAAATAATATGGATAATTGATTAGACAAATAAATGCCCGAGTTATGAATTCCTAAGATGAAGATAGTGGGGAAAAGTGGGTTTTCTTAAAGATTTATTTATTTATTTAAAAGTCAGGTTTTTTTTTTTCTTTAAAGATTTATTTACTTTACTTGAAAGTCACAGTTATACACAGAGAGAAGGAGAGGCAGAGAGAGAGAGAGAAAGAAAGGTGTTTTAGAGCAGGAGAGACACAGAAAGAGAGATTTTTCACCTGCTGATTCACTCCCTAGATGGTTGCAACAGCCAGGGCAGAGCCAGGCCAAGTCCAGGAGACAGGAGGCAGCTGCTTCACTTGGGTTTCCCCATGGGTGGCAGGTATGGGCCATGTTCCACTGCTTTTTCCAGACTGATAGCAGGGAACTGGATCAGAAGTAAAGCAGCCAGGACACAAAACCAGTACCCATATGGAGTGCCAGCATCAAAGGCAGTGGCCTTACCTGCTACAACACAATGCTAGCCCCAAGGGAAAAAATATTTTCATAAAATACTTTCAGGACAGAAGCTTGTATACAAGTTAGGACACAACTTGGGATGTTCACATACTTTAGTGGAGTGCCTGGATTTGAGTCCCAGCTCTACTTCAAGAGTCCAGCTTTCTGTTAATACACACCCTGGGAGGTAGCTGATGATGACTCAAATATTCAGGTCCTTGCCCTCTGTGATATGGGAGACCTAGATTGAGTTCTGAGATCGCTGCTTTGGCCTGGCCCAGCCCCAGTTGCTGTAGACATTTGGGGAGTGAATCACCTAATACAAGATCTCTCTCTCTGTCTCATTCTCTCACCCATCTCTTCTTTTTCCTTCCCTTTCAAATAAAACTGAATATAAGTAATTTTTAAAATATTAGCTCTAAAAATAAATTAATGAAGTTGCTGTTTTTAATCTAAAATGTTGATATTTAATCTCTATGGTAACTTGTTAGATGGCCATGATCATCCCTCAGAGTCTAACATAGATAGAGCCAACATATCCACTGGCAGACAAATGGAGGAAGCACAATTTTTGTGTAACTGTTTTGGATTCTTTCTTTGATGTTAGTTTACAGTTCTCTCCCCAATGCTGCAATGCACACAATTTCATCTGGTTCAGATTCAGCTCTTATAACCCTAGTAGGCCATGCATTGCTAAGGAAGAAAGATTTATACAAATTTATACAAATTCCTTCCTACATCAAGAAGAATCAAGATAGAAAATATTACCATCAAATCAATAGTGTTTCTTTCAAAGTGCTTTCTGCTATCTGTTTGAAGCGATCTTATTTATTCTTGACCCCTCTTGGCTACATTCTTAGGCTTCTCATCAGCACATGTTCATTAGGGAGCTCTTGTGCTCTCAAAATTTATAGGTTGAAATCCTCCAAGTGGAGGGTATTAAGGAGATGAGACCTTTGGGAGGTGATTAGGTCACAAAGACAAAGTTCTTAGGAATGAGATTAGTGTCATATATATATATATATATATATATATGCATATATGCAGCAGCTGGGGTGGGGCAAGGCCAAAACCAGGAACCCAGAACTCCATCCAAATCCCCCATGTGGCTGGCAAGGACCCATGTGCTGGAGCCATCACCTGTTCCCTCCCAGGGTACATATTAGCAGGAAACTGGATTCTGGAGTGGAGCCAAGACCCAGACCCAGGCACTCAATATGGGATGTGGACATCCCAAGTGTCATCTTAATTGCTGTGTCACAACTCCCACTCTTGGTGGCATCCTTATAAATGAGGTTCTGGAGAGCCAACTAGTCTTTTCCACCATGTGAGGACACAGCAAGAAGACTCTGTGTGGACCACAATGAGGATGCTCACCAGACACCAAGTCATCTGGGGACATGAACTTGACCTTCCCAGACTCTAGAACTGAGAAATAAGTTTCTGTTTATAAGCCACCCAATTTATGGTATTTTGTTATACCACACCAAATAAACTAAGACAGTCCATATTGATAACAGAAATACTGTCTTGGGGGAGCAACAAAATATGAAAATGGTCTCAGAGTTGTATGAGAGCACAAAATCTTGTAAATCCTACATTTGTTTTCTTAATGTCTTCCCACCTTTAACACCATTTATCCTCTGGAAAGGACTTCCAGGATTCTGAAAGGACTTTCAGGATTCATGCAGATGGTCGTGTTTTATCACAATAGTTTCCACACTGTTCAAGAGCATGAGCCAAGTTCTCCCAGTTTGCCTTGTCTCTTAAGTCTGCTAACTACCAATGTCACAGCCCATAACCCTGAAATATAAACAAAACAATCTGTCTCTGTTTTCCAGTTCTAACTGGCAAAAACAAACATAGACTATGGTAGGCCACACCTGAAATGCCCCTCCCTGCCCTCATCTCTGTCTTCTGTGAAATCTCTTTGAGTGTGTTCTAGATCTAGAGACTTTCTTCCAACTAATAGAATATTGCAAAAATAATAAGATGTCCCCTTAACCAATAGGCTACAAAAGGCTATGACTTTTGTCTGGCTCTCTCCCCCTTACTTGTATTCTTTTTTTTATTTTTTTAAAAAAATTAGTTGACATAAAAATTGCACATACGTATGGGTTCAATGTGATATTTCAATACACGTATATAATGTATAATAATCAGATCAGAGTAACTGGAATTTCCATCACTTCAAGCATTTATCATTTCTTTTTGTTGGTAAGATTCAGTTCCTCTCAATCAGCTATTTTGAAATATACAATTAATTGCTGTCAATCATCAGAGTTGATTTACTGTGCTGCAGAACATTAGAAGTTATTCCTCTTTGCCAACTGCACACCTGATCCTATTAATCATCCTCTCTCCATCATTCCCTCCCCCACCCTTCCCAATATCTGGAAACTGCTATTCTTCTCTCTACTTTTATGAAATCAACTTTTTAAACTTCCATATATAGATACGAATATGCAGTATATGTCTTTCTCTGCCTGAACTAGTTCACTTAACATAATTTTCTCCAGTTCCACCCATGTTATTTGTGTCCTCTTTTGCTGCATCCCTTGCTTACTCTGATGAAGACAACTGCCATACTGGGAACCACCTATGAAAGACTCACACAGCAAGGAAACAAGAGACATCTGGGTGCCATCGAGTACTGAACAGAGAATCTTCAGTGACTCTAAAAGCAGGACTTTAGGCTCAGATTCAACCAGCCACAAAATGGAAACTTGAATAGTAAATTCCAGATAAGCCATAATCTTGGAAGAAATTTCCACTAGGGATTTTTAGGCATATACGAACATTGTCTCATAAAAATGGCCACCATTTGTTAACTATGTTTCTGGTTGTCACTCTGCATGCATTGTCTTACTTGATTGACACATGGAACCTTAAAAGGAGGTATCTTCGTGTTATAGATGGAGAAACCAAGGCACAGAATGATTGAGAAACCTTTCTGTCGCTCCCCCTCTTCGTGGAGGAACGACACAGGACCCTGCGCTGTTCTTTTGTCTGCTCGGCCCTCCCCGGGTTTGCTGCTGGTTCTTCCCGGGTTGGCTACCGACCCTTCCACCTCCGTGGAAGGGCGGTTCCCCCTAGCCACTTTCCCCACTTCCGCGGGGGAGCGGCACACCGCCGGCCGGCTCTCTCGGGGGCTGCACAGGTGTTCCTTCAGATAGATGTTCCTGGTGCATGTTGTCTCGCTCCTCCTTTATAGTCCTCTTCCGCCAATCCCAACTCTGCTACCCACATGCCGAGTACGCTGCTCTCCTCCAATCAGGAGCAGGTCCTACAGTTTATTGGTTGAACTGGAGGCAGCTGCGTAGAAGCTGTTTCTCCCTTCTCAGCGCCATATTGTGGGAGAGCAGATGCATAGAATAAGTCTTAATTCCAGTAACTCAGTCCAGTCCGGGTTGCTCCCCACACCTTTCCATGATCACAAAGTAGCAGAGATAAACTTTTGACTCAGTTGGTTTTTTTTCTGAGAACCAATATTTCAATCGTTTCTTCCATGAAACTTTGTATGATAGCCCCATACACTGTACCCTCATCCGACTTTGAATTCACTTGTATTACACACTGAAAATATAGTAACTATCTGGGATTTCATGAAATCCTCTTTGAAGCTATTCCACAGTACTGTGTGTGACTCATGGTGAGCCCTCCACGATTTATAGAATAAGTGAATATGCATCAGGGTCACTTCTGTGCAGTAATAAAGCATGGGCTAGTTATACAGGAAAGAATAGCAATTATGCCAGTGAATCAACCTAAGGACTGTTTAGTTGCCTCACTCCACAGGTGACGTTCATTATCGGACAAACGCCCTGGTCCAGGTAGCCCTGTCAG